ACATACAGACATACAGACATCCAGACATACAGACATACATATATACATACATATATATATATACATACATACATACATACATACATACATGCATCCGTACAAACATGCATACATAAACACGTACATATATATATATATATATATATACAAACATGCATGCATGCAAACATGCAAACATACATACATACATAAATACATACATACATACATACATACATACATACATACATACATGCATACGTAAAGGCGTACATGCATGCATGCATGCATGCATACATGTTACAACACTGTTGATGATATGCATCCTGTATTACTTGAAGGACCCTAAACTATGGGAACTGTGTTATATTCCTGATTATGGGCAATGCAGGGTTTACACCATCAACCGTATCAGTGTACTTATATTAAAACATGTCCATATTCTATGATACTCTATGTATATACAAACATATGTCACATAGAAATGCAGCTTTGGCCCAGAAGCTCTGAGCAAAGGGTGAGTCCCAGCACTGGCCGCGGCATGAACCTTGCAAGGGAAGCGGTTCAGGGTTTAGGGGATTTATTTACTGGGAAACTCATCCAAAACGTAAACTTAAACGAACCTACAGCTTGACTAGGCCTCCAAACCTAAGTAGCGGGTTGTGTTACAGATTAAGTACTGTAGTTCGTACTGACCGTTTGACAACCACCCGGATGCGTCAAGGCATTCGTGAACAAAGGAGTCGCATCACTGGACTCCGAAGGGACTCGAGCTCAACTCAACCAAGACCTCAGCAAGCCGCTTAATATAGGGGCCTGGATAATTAGAATAGGGGTTCGGGGCCCGTTATACCACATTTATAATAAGGAACACCCAAAATAATATTGGTAATTATTAAACGGCCCCTGTATTACGGGCCTCCCAACAGACCATGCAGGCCCAACGGTAGGGATAGTTAGCACACGGCACTCGGCCAAGGTGGCTAACTCAGTACCCGGGGTGCCTTGGCTGCCTGGCATACACCGGCATCCATCTACATACGCTGCACAAGATACCCTCGCCTGCGTTTGAAATTGACAACAATCCCTCAATTCGTCCAAAAGGTCGTGCACCTGTCTTTCGAGATTGGCCGTCACTCCCGGCATCACGGAGTAGCTGTGCGACAGCCTTCTTCAATTCTGCACGTAGAGGCCCAAAAGCAAAGAGTCAACCGCTTTATTGCCCACTCATAGCAGCGATAGGTACGACAATGTGATGCAATCCCTTCAGAATGCTCTCTGCTGTCACGGATTGGCGATGCCTGTCAAGGATACTTTTGTGCTCAGCATTGCGCTTCTCGCATTGCACCAAAGCTGTGCCCTCTTTCCAAGCCCCTCACCCCTAAACCCTGAACCCTAAACCCTAAACCCTATAAACCTGATAAACCTTATAAACCCTAAACCCTAAACCCTATAGTTGAGGGTTTAGGGTTTGAGGGTTAACCTCAAGCCTTCAACCCCTGAGGCCCTGGGACCGGTTCTTATCCGAGAAGGGCCCTCCTCCCCTTAATCAGGGTTTAGGGTTTAGGGTTTAGGGTTTAGGGTTTAGGGTTTAGGGTTTAGGGTTTAGGGTCCGAATCCGACTCCCGATCTGAACAGGAAGACTTGCCCCCTATAAAACCCTAAGCCCTAAACCCTGAACTCTAAACCCTAAGCCCTATACTCTAAAGCCTGAACCCCAAACCTTAAACCCTAAACCCTAAACCCTAATACTCTAAAGCCTGAACCCTAAACCTTAGACTCTAAACCCTAAACCCTAATACTCTAAACCCTTAACCCTACACCTTAGACTCTAAACCCTAAGCCCGAAACTCGAAGCCCCGACCTTCTACCCTCCCCCTGGGTCCCATGCCAGGCCCACTGCGTTGAGCAGATCCCCGGGTCCCTGCTCGTGGTCCAGCACCAGGGCCTAAAGATAGGGTTCAGGGGTTTAGGGTTCAGGGTTTAGGGATCAGGGTTTAGGGTTCAGGGTTTAGGGTTCAGGGTTTAGGGTTGAAGGCTTAGGGTTGAGGGTTTAGGGTTGAGGGTTCAGGGTTGAGGGCTTAGGGCTGAGGGATAGGAGTTGTAGTATCATATACTGTAACGTGGGAAAATAAAACAGCATATCCTATAATGTGGGAAAATGCCATATACCTTAACATACCATAATATGGGCAACAGAATAGAATACAGTATACTTTTTAATGTGGGAAAATAAACTATGCCATGAAAATCCGCCAGGGCCTAAACAAAGGAGTTCTTATCTCGTGGTTCTTTCCTCGTCTATGCGTTTTTCCAATGGTCACAGATGATGTTGATACTAACTGATGTTGTTAGAGTTCTTACAAGATGTTTGCTTCAAATTACTATGGGTTTTGACCGCAGGGTTCTACTGTAAAGGCTTCGGTGGGCCTTTTACAAAGCTTGTGTAAATTTCCTAGCTCTTTTTCTGGGCTACCAACGTGGGCCTTGAATATGAAGATATTGACATTCTGCAAATAGGGCGGCGAGGCATCGCTATCATGTTCTCGAGGCTCTACGGAGCTCTATAAGGCTTTACGACTGGATTTATCCAAGGTTGCCTGGGCGTTTTGCAGAAGAATCGGCTGGACTGGTGCTTGGGGTTGGGCTGCAGCGGAGCCATCGGCTTAGGGTTTAGGGTTTAGGCTTTAGGGTTGAGGTTGAGAGTATACAGTAGGGGTTACAGGTTGCCAGTCAAAGAGTCAAAGAAGACACCTACAGTAAAAAAACATGAAAACTCGCAAGAATGGCATTGGCAGCAGCAGAAGCAGTACCACGGCTAAAGCTTGCAGCCAAGACGAAGTATTCCGCAGATAATGATAAGCGGTTGCACCGAAGCCTCGACTGCAAAACCATCGCTTCCGAGATCCCCAAAATCACGCCCCTCAAACTTACATCCCAAGCGCCAGAATCCGCTAGAACCTACATTCTATAAACCAACAGCATAACTCCTAAACCCAACATCCTAAAGGTATTGCGGACCTTACATACGAAAACTGTACTACAGCAAAACAGCGAAACCTTTATGAAACCTGGCCCGACCCCACACTGAAACCCCAATGAAACAGCGGGTTTCGGGTTTAGGGCTTAGCCTGTAAGCTCTTTCCAACAAAGTATTCTAATTCTGCCTCTTCACGGCCCCTACATCACCTACAGGAATCCTTCTGTAGTACCCTATTGTGCCCTTAGAGGAACCCTATGACAGAACTCGCTTCTTCGAAACCCTAAACCCTACATTCCAGCTCAGTTCGGCCTCAAAGCCGGCATTGGCCACGGCCTCAGCCGCCAGGGCATCGCCCAGGTGGAGGAAAGCAGCCACGGCCTGCACTTGTAGGGTGTTGCGGGGTCTCCTTAAGGGTTGTTTCAGGGTTTCTAAGGGTGGGGGAGGACGGCGGCGGAGCCTAAGACCTTCATTAAACCAACTCTATTGACTTTGGAGTTGCCCCAGATTGTCATGTAGGATTGCAAATCGCAAGCTGTCTGACGGCGCTGCAATGCATGCTAAGGTTAGGGTTTAGGGTTTAGGGTTCAGGGTTTAGGGTTTATGGTTTAGGGTTTAGACCTGTAGGCCACGGTGCACAGAAGATCTTGCCAGGAGCTGTAATGCCCGCACCAATCCTAAACCCAACATATCAAGCCCTCAGTCATAGTTCTGTTTCAAAAGAACCTGAAGACCCTTGCCCTAAACCCTAAACCCTAAACCGTGTTAAGAACTACTACTACTACTACTACTACTACTACTACTACTACTACCCTGCTAAATGTGGCCTCAAGGACTGTATCAGCAATCAATTCCAACGTTGAACCCTCATGCGGGCAGTTCTCTAAACTAGGGTCCCTTCTTAAGCCCCGAGAATAGTACGGCACCCGTATGACAAGGACCCTAAAACCCTAAAAGGGACCGTAGTTTAGAAAACTACCCATGCAGACGCCATGAACCCCTTCACCGAATCAGGGGTTACGATACGGACACGCATACTACTGTAATGGATCAGCAAGCGCGGATCTCATGAAGGGACCCAAGAAGACCAAACCCAAACACGACCCCAATCCTTAAACTAAAGAAGGACAAACGCCATAACCCTGAAACTGAAGCAGAACAGAGAAGACAAAAAGAAACGTCCTCAACTTCCAGCCAAACGGAATATTTATTTCAATCCCAAAAAAGAGACCCTAAACCCCTAAACACTAAACCCAAAACCACAACACGCCCAACGACGAACAGAGAAAAACCTCTTTTGCAGGCCTTCTTCTGCCTCCTGAGCTGGCTAACCAGGGCACTGGTGGCCAGCCTGGCCCTTGCCGACCTTAGAACTTTAGCATACAGCACATACATACATATATATATATATAATATTAATAT